AGGCAAAGAGGGTAAAGTCCTCTTGCCCCGTTCGAGATCGAACATGGCTTGCACATCGGCGAGAGTGAGAAACTATTGAGGGAGAGAATTTGATGGTAGTATTCCCGAAACTTGGCTTATGGACCCAAAGACTGAGCTAGGGGCGACTTGGCCATTTTGGTGCTGCGAATTCATCATTGGTGAGGACATTTGACGATACTGGCCATCAGCGCCTATAAACAAGCCAGTTGGTGATGGGACATTGAATTGAGGCCCGTAGAGTCCACCGCACGGCGCCACTATATCGGGTTGTGCTTGCAAATTTGTTGTTGGCACCAAAGGAGGCCCGCCTAGTACTTGAGTAACATTTACTGGTGGCGTAACAAGATTAGGTACGGGCAGAGCTCCCTTTTGCGCCATCATGCCCCTTATATTTTCCTGGACACCGACAATTGCCGGAGCGCTATTCATTACACCAAAACCTCCCCCAGTCACCATTGGATCTTGGCTTGGCACGCCATGGAGGCCGGGCATGGGCAAACTGCTGCCGCCTACTGCGGTTTGAGCATGTGTTACTGTGGCCGTGTTGCCATGAGCCATAGGCTGAATGGGGCCTATTTCTCCTTGGATTTGATTTTGCGCTCCGGCGGGAATAACTCCACCACCAGTTTGATTTCCGTTTGGCACCGATGCAAAGTTAGAACTCATCACCAACATGGTGTGAGTGAGATTCTAAAGAGTGGTAAGAATCTCCTGCTGAGTATTTTGAAGTCCTTGAATGGCTTCAAGCAAAAGTGGTTGATCTGGAGTCATGGTTCTGTCATCACCACCATTAGAGGATCCTTGTTGGTGAACTTCATCTTCTCCCGCCATCCTTGTTGGAGTTGTGTGGATTCCAGATCTCGTTGAGACCATTAACCAATCCGCCTCCCCAGTGAAGTCGCCAAATGTATGAAAGGGTTCAAGAAAGGAGTTGAAAAATTCGAAGATCTTCAAAGATCCTTGAAGAACAACTTCGAATTCTCTAGAAGATGATGAGGGGCTTAGATTCTTTAATAGTCTCAACTCAAGAACACAAGAGTAAAGGAGATGGTGGAGATAAGAGATTGGGTGAAGAAGAAGACAAAATGGCTAGAGAGAGAATAATGGCAAGGCTCTCCCATGGATCTTACACTTTCACTCTCAAGGTTGATAATGGAGAAGGGAAATTAGTTCTTTTCCAAGAGTTAAAAATCTCCAAAATCCATCCCTTGAAGCTATGGGTGGGTGCTATTTATAGGCACCTCATGATGTAGGATGGAGCCCATGTGCAAGGCACATGGAGAATATTCTCTCTAACCACCTTGTCCGAGGAGGTGACCTCTCCGAGGATGAGGAAAACCCCGAAGAGGAGATCAACCTCTCGGCAAACCCTTCTTCTTAGCCACACCTAACCAATGATCCCCAATCATCCCAAAGGGCCGAGGTAATCCTAGAGGACCCCCCCCGGCCGCTAAGTATTGCCAAGTCTCATGGACCCCCAGGAGTTGTGTCACCTCGACCTAGGTATAGGCTAGTTTAACCGAAGAGTGAATTTATCTCCACTCACCGTCCTCGGGATCGGGTCCTTTGTTCAAACTCCATTACGCTCATGGTTCTGGTGCGTAGATCCCGGAAAGCTCCAAGCCCGCAAGTGTTCTGGGACTCATTAACGGAGCGACTTCTAGATTGCGTTTGAATCCGTTCGAAGTCAGGTGCTTTGGATCTCTAGGTTCGTGGATCCAAACCCTTTCGAGTCCGAGCTCGAGTAAGTCTCTAAGTTCGTGGATTCGAACCCTTTCGAGGCTTAGAGCGATTCAGCTCGTTTGATGGCGATAAATCCGAGTCCACCAATCTTGGACTTGCAATAAATTCGGGCCCACCAACCATCGACTATTGGACCTAATTAATTTAGTAGGCCCAAATTAGCTCCTCTTACAACTATGAGATGAATTTGTGGTACAATATTTAACTTTTTTATGATCTTATTTTCAAGCTATACACTGAATGGATATATACATGGGAAAACGACTCAACAAAGCAATCCGAAGTCTATTAGTTCAGTCGGAAAATGGTCTAACTTGGCCAGGTTGGTTCAATTATTGAGTTGGTCCGGCGTTGGGTTCTAAAAATGATTTGAGTTAGATAGGCCAGTTTGGTTTTTGAGTTAGCCCTAGGTTTACATAAACTATTCGCAATCCAGTTTGAGATTTACACCTTTTACATTTAGCTTACAAATCTCTACATATGATAAACACTAAAATCAAATTTGACCCTTTAATACCTTATGGATTCCCAACTTTTATTATTCAAAGTTTGGTGTTGTCTAGGCTTGTCTGTAGTCCTGCTGCCAAAAATATATACATTTTTGAGTGTTGTGGGGTGCCATGACTTCCAAATGGCCAAAACAGCACCCAGGGCAGCAGTAATTAGGTTAAAGGATACAACCAATTTAGGCCAAAAAATTATCTTTATATATATTTTTTAAATTTAATGGGTCCGACTTTGCTCTTGTCCGGTGAGAAGATTGGCTTGTCATATTGGACTCCTGGTGGGCTTACATTGTGGCTCATGTAATCCATGAAAAAATTAGATTCATAACTCACATTTATTTCAGAAATATGGATGACAGTATGATGTTAAAAATAAATTATTGATATTTTTTAAGATAAATGTGAAGAAATTATTTTTTAAAAATTATTTTTTATGAATAATTTATAAAGGTCTTATGATGAATTCACAAGAACTTAACTATACTCTTAAAGACAAATGTGAAGAAATCTTATAGAAATCGTATGCATAATAACCTAAAAAATATATGAATGAAATTATTAAAATAAGTCTCTTGACAATCCATGAAATCTAACAATCCAATCCAATCTAATCTAATCTTCTCGCATAATGGCAGGAAAATTAAACCCTTTTTAAATAAATATAAAAACATTCATATTCAAACCAACATAATATCTAGAAGGTACTAGTCTAATTTTCATGAGGTGGGAGGACCCTGTTTAGGCTAAAAACATGAATCATTTGATCAATTCTTGGGAATGCTTGTGGGTCCCATTGGTTACACAAGCAAAAGCAAAAGCAAAAGCAAAAGCAAAAGTAAAAGCAAAATCAAAATTTCCATTGCTTTGCTTAGTTGTGCAAGTGTGGTCAGTCGTGCCTTCAAACAAAATCCTCATTACCCACCATGGCTATGTAAAAGCATAGCTAAAAGTTCCCTCAAAACAGCTCATCCATATTCCTTTACATGATTTCAGGGCAAATGGTGACCATGGGTTCATGATAACAATGCATCCCCCAACTCATCACCATCACACCCTTCTTCACATATCTTCTGGCCTTTAATTGACTTACAACTTGTTACAAGTTAAGACTTGATAACTACAAAATATAAATTAAGAGTTTTCCTTACATAAATTAGTTTTTTTCAATTTACATAAATTATTTCTTCTATTTTATACAAATTTCTAAAATAAAAAGGTCTATATAGCCCTCTAAATTACACAAATGCACTTTTTCCATTTTTTGAGGGAATGTATTGAAAGAGGAGTTTGAATTTGTTGAAATTGACTCATTATGAAATTAACTTGAACCTAATAAACTGTTAACCTCATACAATTAATTAAAAAAATTATCCATGTAAAAATTAAGTTTATTCAATATTAATTGACATACCTTCATATCATTTTATCCATATGATATACATTTTTTTAAGAATATACCGTTTATAAATTATATTATATTATATATACATATATATGTGATTTGATTATGTAACTACTTATATCTAATCAATTTAATTTATATATATATATATATATATTTCTTAACTTATCATATGAGATGAACGATTAAAATTACTAAAACTGTGTTTGGTTAATAGAATTAAAAAGGAATTTGAAAAAAAAAAGGAAAAGATATCTAAAATGTAGTTATATTTTACACACATTACATCTATCTTTTTCTTTTTGCTTTCCATTTCTAAATTATTTTCCAAATTTATAAATCAAACATAGTGTAAATTTATAGATTGATCTCACAATGTTCCAATTTCACCTATGAAATTTAAGCCTTGTTTGGGTTAAACTATGTAGGTGTTTGGCATGCACTAAAAAAATGTATTTTTTTTCTTCTATATATATACTCATTTAGGTCACATCAATCAACATCTATCAACATTTCTTTTTTACTTTTCTACCTACTTTCTCTATTTTTCTACACATTTTCTTTTATGAAAAGTCAAAAAGTGCACTTATTTAAAACATCTCAAACCACCCCTATATAAGTACATTTTTTTTCATAAGTGCACTTATTTGGGTCACATTAATTAACATTTTCTCTTTACTTTTCTACACTTTCTTTTATAAAAAGGGTATGGCTTCTGTCTAGTCCGGGATCGGACTGGACCGTATTGTTGGGCTCGTGGGGGCCCACCACGGGTCCCGTTTTGATAATCTGAATCGTTCAATGTGTAAAACTCGTCGAGTACTATATGCCTGTAAGAAATCACGTTGATCAGATATCGATAGCTATGTAATCAAAACAGTTTTTTGTCAACCGTTAATTTATTCACCGTCCAATTTTTTTAATACAAAACTGATTTGATCATATAGCTATCGATATCCAATCAACGTGATTTTTTATAGGCATATAGTACTCGATGAGTTCTACACATTAAACGATTCAGATTATCAAAACGGGACCTATGGTGGGCCCCCATGGGCCGAACAGCAGGTCCAGTCCGATCCCGGACTGGACAGAAACCATAACCTTATAAAAATTCAAAAAACACACTTATTTAAAACATCCCAAACCAACTATTAAATTTTTCAATTTTAACAAAATAGTAATGATTCAGACCTCATAAAATATCACTCCTACAATCTCTACTCCAAATAAAAAAACAAAAGAAAAAAAATAATACATACCCATCATTAATCCAGGTCACTGTAAATGGAGGAGGTCCCCCCAAAAAAAAAAAAAATCATGAGTGAGAGAGAGAGAGAGACGATGAGGTGTTAAACTTGCTTGCTACTGTGTAGTGAGTTAAAATGCAGTGCGAAGCACCATGACTAATTTCCGTAACATACTCAAAAAAAGGCACTTCATATACGGTTCCCGCGAGGGAAACACGGATCAAACAACTCGCCTCTTTCTCTCTCTCTAAAATTCTCTCTAAAACTGTTTTGTGTGTGTGTTGGTTGGAAGAAAATGGAGGCAGCGATGGGATTGATGAGAAGAATTCCTCCGAAGCACACAGAGACTGCTCTCTCTGCTCTCCTCACCCTCTTGCCTGACCACTCCTCGCATCTCCTTTCTCAAGTCGATCAGCCTCTTCAGGTCCTCCTTTCTCATGTCATTTCTTTGTTTTTTACTTCGATTCAGTTTTTTTTTGTTTTCTTGCGATTTGTGTGCGTAAACACGACGGTTACTTTTCAATTTGCCTTCCTTCTGTATCTTTGATTGCATTCCATTAACAAGATTTGTGGATCTTAGATTTATCAAAAATTGATTTTTTACTGAATTTCTGGAAATGATATCTTCTCTCTCTCTCTCATATAATTGGGAAATTTTCTTTCAAACTGGCAAGGACAGGTATTGTGTGATGTGGATTGTGGAAAGGAGTTCATCTTATGTGAATACAACAGAGATGCTGACTCCTATAGGTAAATATGCTCACCTCCTGAATACCTGTAATCAAAATTATCACTTTTATAGCATGCTAACCTTAATTTTCCCAAATGGTGTTGGTTTCCTAACAATCGGAGTCAATAATTAAGCTAAGCACTTCTCTTCTCTTGCACGACTCAAATTTTGAGACATCATTATGGGCTATTTAAACCATGATGTCATTCTTAGATTCTTTATGCAAGCACTTGCCTTGTGAACAACTTAACATTGCTTGCTTTGTTCCATCTATTTCTATTTATGGTTTCAGTACATGGTTCTGGTTTCAAATTATAGCCCACAATTCTTCTCTTATACTTTCTTTGTATTTATTTAATCTTGTCTTGTGATCGGTGATCCCATATTTTGTTGTAGGTCACCTTGGTCAAATAAATACCATCCATCATTGGGAGATGGACTTTACCCTTCTCTGGAGTTGAGGAAACTTGAGATTGAAGCAAATGAAGTCTTTGCAATTTATCGTGACCAGTGAGGTCCTTTACTTACCTCGTCTTGTAGTTTGTTGTGTTTTTTTTTATTAAACTATATTATGGCATAAAATGTTTTTTCTCCCGCTATTTCTTTCTGTTCAGTATTCCCTTTGGTTGTTTATTATTTTTTAATTTTTTTAATCAGTTGAAGCAAACTACAGAATGTGAATATTTTATTGATTTTACTTGCTCAAGAGAGCTAGTGATGCCATTGTGAAAGAGATGATGACTTAATAGAAAATCATTTATTTACATTCATTATCCTAATTTTGTTTCTGAAAAATTAGTAGCAAATTGATTAACTGGTATTTTGGGTAGGTATTATGAAGGCGGCATTTCATCAGTGTATTTGTGGGAAGATGCGAATGAAGTTTTTGTAGCTTGCTTCTTGATAAAGAAAGGTATTTTTTTTTCTTTAATACCCTTGATAAAAAGTTCTGCATCTTTTCACTAACCTGCAATAATTCTCGAGAATGAAGATGGCTCAAAGTCAGGGCATGGCAGGAGAGGTTATCTGCATGATGGAATATGGGATGCTATACATGTCATTGAGGTAGGCATCATCTGCAGACTCAGTTTTCCCTTCCTCTTTTAGAGTATTCATTCATTCATGCTGCAATCCTTTACCTTTAGGTGGCTCCAGAGGACGAAGAAATGACTCGTTACTGTTTAACAAGTACTGTCATGTTGTCATTGACTACAAATAATGACTCGTCTGGCACGTTCAATCTGTCAGGGTCAATTAGAAGACAGGTAATTCATACTGATTTAAATTGTGTTTTATATTGTTGAGTTTAAACTAGTATCTGGGCTTTCGAGACTTTATTATAAGTCAAAGACAAGCTCAACTTAGAAAAATGTTGTTCCATGCCAATTTGCTTCACATTGGTTGCCTGTAATCGATTAAAAATGGATTGATATTTATCTTGCTTTGTGGTTTTTTAGATGGTGTTGATTGGAGATGAATAGCATCTACCAACTAAAAGTAAAAAAATATCAAACTGGCTGTGTCATTTTTTTCCCATTTTCTGAACATGGAAAACTAGGCCGAAGGCTAAACTGGCTGTGCCATTTAGCATCATGAGGCTTAGACCTTGAGAGCTGATATGATTTAATTGAATCTGATTTTTTATGCTTCCACACCTATTTAAGCTTTGTATAGTGAGGTATAATGGACAAAAGTTTGACAGCAACTATGGCTGTTTGAAGTATGAGCACGTTATATATCGCTTGTTCATCAATTATAATTTTCTGGCTAGAGATGAAACCTCAGTGAATGGAGACTGAAAGTACTTCCCTAAGGATGAGAAAAATCTTTTACTGGAAGAACACAGGAAAAAAGAGAAATAGAAATGAAAGCCATGACAATTGGAAGATACTGAAAAACATCCTGACAGCTAATGGATGAGGGGTAGATGTGCCCCAAGTGATTGCTGGTTGTAGCTTCTCTTTATAGTTAAATCATCATCCCTGTGATAACTGAAAAGTAGTCCTTACCAATCGAAAGATGACTTTATCCACTATGACTAATTGTCTTGTATTCCCAAGGGAATTTCCCGTTAAAATCGAGCTTCAACTTTCTATATTAATTAGCAAAGGAACCCCAAGAATGTAGGGTACTTACATTTGGGTGGAAGCTTAAAGAGATACGGCAATTTGCCAATAGTAATTGAATTGATTGAGTGCAAGGCTTGAGCCCTAACCTATAAGAGAGGTGCTGCCATTGCATTTTTTGCAACTGTATGTATCTACATCAGTAGTAGGAATTACTGCCACCGTTGCCTCTGCAATATTTTTGTTAGTTCATTTTTTATTTTGTTTTTTAAAAAAACAATTTGGTGGGTGGGCACTATCTTTAAGTTGTGAACCTTTCTAATGGCCAACAAGCTTTTATGCCAAGATTGCCCTAGTCATTTACCTTAATGCAACTTCCGTATGGGGCTTGGGATCAGTAATACAAAGGCAAGCAGTTCCTGTTTGCTTATGCATGTTCTGACAGCCTGTATATTTGTTGTACTCTGTTTTTATGAGATAGAAAACTTATAACAGTGCACCCACATCAATGATGTCTTGTTTAAATCATACATCATCGTATCTTTTTACACCATTTCATTCCAAGACCCCACCCCTTTCATCCTGATATTGCCCTCCATCTTGAACTAAACCATTGCCCTTTTTTTCTTTTTTCTTTTTTTGTGAACGGAACCATTTGTTGCATTTGATCAAGCCATATTGAACAATTCCCTGTTACCTTACCCTTGGTGCCACTTCTACTTCCTATTGTTGGAGATTATTTTAAGAAATACCATATTTCACAGCAGTGTCATCTAAAACAAATGTTTTCACATCTTTTTTACAAATTCACTGAAGTCCAGCTCCAACTACTATTGTGAACAGACCTCCACCAATAAAGCATTGGAATTTGTTCACACCCTTCTATTTTGTTAGGTGGTCAGGTTTTATGATTTGAAGTCATATAGCTCAGAGGTATATCTATGGTCCTTTTCATGGGAGAGTTATACTGTTCATCTTGCTTTTTCTTTTTTTAACAGATGAATATGAATCTCTCAGTGGCCGATGGTCATCTAAGTAACATGGGTAAGATGATAGAAGAAATGGAGAGTAAACTGAGAAATTCATTAGATCAGGTATTTTGACAACATATATTTTAGCCTTATTTGATGATTTTGAAATGCGAAATTTCGTCTGATTATCTAATGTTTTACCTTTAAGCCTTTGGTGTAGAATTGGAAGTCTCATACTGTTATGCAATTTCAGGTGTATTTTGGGAAGACAAAAGAGATGGTTTGCAACTTGCGCCCGCCATCTGAACTGCCGCAAATGAGACTGCCCGACAACTGATGGATCTATATTTTTGGCCTTGCGAGGTGAAAAAAAAGTATTGATCTGTTTGTTTCTTGTTTCCATCATCACTTTGTGTTATGATTAGTGAAGATTGTGTTTTGGATACTTTTTTATTGCAATATTTTGTGATATTATTTAATCTTAAGAAAATTATACATGGATTTTCATTAGTGACATGATTTTTACGATTATATCAATCTAATTTTTTTCATAGATCTATATACAAGATTCTACGAAATGAATAACTTAGATGAACAAAGTAAGCCCCCATGAACCCAACATAATCTGAACTTTTCTTTAATTGGGGAAAAAGTCAAGCCCTTTTCCTGTAGGCTTCAATTTTGATTTGTTATAAAATGATATGCTTATTATTATTTTATTTTTTTTTTGCCATCTTTATGTGGTGCACCCTATAATTAGTCGATTCATTATCCCAATGGTGTGGTGAGATGTGACATCAAATGGCTAGCATTGCTCAATTTGTTTTACTTGCGAGTGTGGTTTTAAAACTCAAGTTTGATTTGTTTATTTTCAAGTCAAGAACAAACTTCAATACTAAACCTACTTAAAATTTTCAATCAAACCATAATTATCAAGTCAAATTCTAAAAAATAACACAATTTAAAATTTATTTACATAATAAATTGATTTCAAACAAATTATTTTAGCAGGCTGGACACAGCCCTATAAATAACATGTGCAATTTTTAGAATTTTTTTTTAAAAAAATAATAATTAATTTGACAAAAATAAATATCAATTTTTTTAATTTATCAAAAAAATATTTTAAAATTTTAAAAATGATTTCTACCCTCTCAAAAATAAAATAAGCTATATATATAAATAATAAATGTTTTTTTTTAATTTTGTTTACCAATTTTTTAGAAAAAAAATTTGAAAATAGACTTTAAAAACTAAACCAAACAAAATAATCATACTGTTACCATTTGCTCGGTTGATGCCCCAACTAATGATGTTATAATAACTAAGCCTCCGTTTGGAAAGTTGGTTGACTTTTTAACTTTTTTAACTATATGAACCTGGGCTCAAAAGCTTAGTTTGGGAAGAACTTTTGGTTTTTTAACTTTTTTAATTTTTTTGTGAGAGAAGAGTGTAATGATTATGAGGTTGGATGAGATGTTTTGTCTGTTGTGGCTCATGAGCCTATTCTGTCTTTTATGGCTCATTGAGCCAAAAAAGCCCAATGAGCCCTTGCCAAACCAACCCTTACGTTTTATAGTTCACCATTCATAGAAGTTTTATAATTCATGATTTAACATTTATCAGAAGCATCACGAATGCGAAAAAACTACTACTAACCCTATGTTTGGTTGAGAGAATTGGGAAAGAAATAGAAAAGGAAAAAAAAAAAAGATAAGTGAAATGTAAATAAAATATTTCACCTAGTTTCACACACATTTTTCCTTTCCTATTTCAAATCTCCAACCAAACACAGTGTATCTAACAATTTCTGGAAAAGAACAAGACGATGAGCAATAGAAACAAAAAGGGAAAATTGAAGAAAAACAATCCATTTTTTACTTCTCATTCAAGCAGTCAGCATTTCAGATACCCCAAAAAACACTAACCATTACCATTTAAACAAACACTGAACAAAAACAGGGCAGAAAACTGGAATTTCTTAATACTGCTCATATAAACAAAGCAGAAGTCAACTTATCTACTTTCATTGCAAGGTGAAACTTGAACGGGGGAACAGTCCGCAGCACATTGGACAGAAAGCATTAAGCTTTTGTCTTGGTTTCACCAACAGCTGGTGCGGCTTCTTCCACCATCTTTTTGCCAGATACTTCTTCCACGTTGTCTTCTTCCGCATCACTGTCATCACTCTCTGCAAGCACAATAGATTATGTTAGATTAAAACAAAAACAAAAACAAAAACAAAACAATAGCAGAAAAAATAACTTAACTTTAGGTTTTGTTTTCAGAATCGGAATTTGGTTTCTGACAAAATACAAAAAACTAGTTTGGAAAACTAAACACCAAAAATATCAATGTTTTTCAATTTTCAAAATTTTGAGTGTTTTTGAACTTTTCATAATCTTTTCACCAAATTAGTTTTAGTGTGTTTCAAAAAACAGATTCCAAAAACTCAAGCAAACAGAAAGCTCTTTGTAGATGCAAAGGAAATAAGACCTACCTTCATAATTGTCAGCAACATCACCATCAAAATCTCCGCCACCGCCACCCATGTTAAGATTCTGAAAGAAAACAGAGAGAACAAATTATACAAAAGTCCATCAACAATTGGCATAAACCAAGAAAATTCTATGTGACCAATTTGTTACCCACCGAAAAGTCAAAGTCACCAAAGTCCATGCCAGCTCCAGCTGAAAAACCGAAACTTAAAGTAAGTGCCGCTGAGAGATAAATGATACTAATCACAATTTGGGAAAGGGAAAGGCAGAGGACTCACGTTTACTATCCTGCTCCTCATCTTCATCAACCCATTTGTCCCAATCAACTTTCAAAAAGACAGGCGGTTTTCCTTCCTGTTTCAATAACCTGTTCCACCATTTACTCTCTGCCTTCTTTATAAGATAGCAAATGTTTCTCAAGCCAACATTAGCCTTGCTCTCCTGCAATTATTGTATTAATTAACACCTACTATGTGCTAGCTGTAAATAACAGGCCAAAAAAAAAAAAAAAAATTGAAATCATTATTTGTGAACTTACATTTACATCAACCTTGTCAAAGAGATCCATATCTATTTCGTAAGGCAAGTTATCTGCTCCACTCTTAGCAGAAAAGAAGAATTTCCCCTCTGGCTCTAGTTTGAGCTTCACATCTTTGGCATCCGGTAGTTCAATGGTGATGAACAGCTTATCTGAGCTCTGGGCCCACTTTACTGAAGGATGTCGGCTGGCCAAGAAAAATGATGACAATGAAAAATTAGATAGAACAAATAAAAATAAAAGTAAAAGGACTCTTCACCGTCAGTTAAGCTATCAAGTCAGTATTTAGCAGTTACAGTTCTACACAGTACACACACATAATATCACCTGCAATCAGCAATTGTCTTATCTGATCAGTGAAAGATCTTGAAAACACAATGCACATTCGGAATAAAGATGTGTTGTAGGTTCATTGATATGGTACCGATATGCTATCCCCAGGATAATCAAAATAGCTTATTGATAGTTAATATTTTACTAATTAATAAGCAGACTTTTGAATGTACTATCCCCAGGATTTTACTAATAATATTTTATTAATTATTAAGAATCAAATGGTACATGCAAAAGTCCTCTTATGGAATAATTACAATAATCTATGACCTACAACTCCCCCCCATCTCTCACTCTCTTCCTCTTCTTTTGGTGGCTGTGGCTGGAGTTATAAATGCCATGGTAATGGGAAATAAAACTTTCAATGAGATGCTGCAGCTCTACTAGGCACCAAATGAAAAATCCAAAAGCTCAAAACACCAGTGGCCTTTATTCTAAAATTCCACAATTCAAGCCACCAAATGCACAACATGGCTTAGAACGTCTGTTAGGCAGTACTAAACTCTAATTAGCCCCACTTCCACCCTCCCCACTCCACACACACACAGTGCATTCCACCAAGTTGAAACCTCTAAACTTACACTAAAGGACTAGAAAATTACTATTTAAATCTTTTGGGGATGCGCATTGCAATGTCTCAAATTAGGACCTTAAAAATTGGTTTGGTTTTTTGTTTTGTTTTGTTTTGTTTTGCTTGGGGGGAGGGGGAATATATATACACACAATGGTGATATCATCAAATCACAAATTAGGGTAAATTGGACAAGTTAAGTTGGACAACGATCAAACCTAAAAAACTAATCTAAGGTTACAAATTCAGTTTGTTTGTGTATTGAGACCTGGTGTGAGGTCAAACTAACCTAAGTTTGACAAGCAAAGAACCACAAATAATGTTCATACATGTATTTTCCAACAGGTCAAGCACAATATAAATCATTCTTAGCTCTTACAAACCTCAGTTGTGCTTAAACTACATAATGGGCTTAGACAATTTATGTTTGGAACCACATATCAGATTGAGTTGTGTAAAACCCAGCTGCATACCTTTTCTTTTTAGTTGATTTATGTTTCATGCCAACCTTACCAAACTCATGTCGAACATCCAATCAACCTCACTTGCCAAACAGGCCACACATTTAAAATACTCAAAGATTAGTCTAACTCATAAACATTACAAGCGATCCCCTACAAAACAACTAGCAATTTCAACTAGATAACTGGCTCTTCAACCGCAAAATAGAAGACCTCACTCAAAATCAGAGTTCAATACTCAAATTAATTGATCTAATTGACCAATATACCGAAACACCTAATTTCTTAGTCATCATTCACTTGCAAATAGATACATTTTTAGTTAAACCTCGAATTTTAGTAAATTCTATGACCTAGATGAGACGTGTGCTACATATATAACATGATTCTTCCCAAACCTGGCATTTGCAATCTTAATATATAAACATATCAACAATCCCAAACCAAGCTTCTACCCAATTAACAGCCTTAAATACATATAAATCCCAATCAATGCATGTAAAAGGATCTGCATCAGTAAATTGTTATACAGACACACAATTTCAAACTACAGGATTATCAGAGTGTGTGTTGATTCATAATTTATGAACACTTCAACTAAAACCCTAAAATTAACTATAAAAAAAACAAACAAACAAAATAATAGAAACAAAAACATCACCAACTAGAGTCAGAACCCTAGGGTTTTAGCAACTACTAGTGAGAGTGAGAATCAGAGACACAAAATAAAGTTAATATATATATATATATATATTCAGAAATAGAAGTATTAAAAGCAAAACAGAGACCTAAAAGTACATATACTACAACACATACAAATAGGCATCCATATATAAAAGCGAAGAGAGAAAAGAATAGAAGTGAGGTAGAGTGAAAATACCTCATCTTCGATCTTCTTCAGAGATTTCGAATTTGGAGAAGAAAAGTTCGCAGCTTTGCTCTATTGCGTGATTGTTGTGTGTTCGTTGCAGAATGCAGAGCGGGACGATATACAAATAGTATAGAATCTATAGATATATAGAGAGAGAGTCGATAGGTAGGCTGTGGCTTGTCTTCTCTCTCTCTATATTTTGTGGGAAATGTCTAGATGCTTCTTTCGGGCGCTGCGATGAAGGCAAAACATATACGGGTCTGTTTGTTTGTTTGTTTGTTTGTTTTTTCTGAATTTTAAAATTAAAAAATATTTTTTAATTTTTAAAAATTATTTCTCTCCTCAAAATATATAAATCATATTAACGTAGTGTTATCAAAATAAATTTAATTTTTTTTTATTTTTATCTTTTAAGAAAAATTAGTCTAAGGTCTCTGTTTCATTTTTAGTAATAGAAGATACCCACAATATTATTTTTTGATATTTAAGGTCCCTGAACCCACACCCATATATCAGATCAGAGAAATTTGACTCTCTATTGTTTTTTTTTTTTTTTTCCTGAATTTTAAAATTAAAAAATATTTTTAAATTTTTAAAAATTATTTTTCTCCTCAAAATATATAAATCATATTAATGTAGTGTTATCAAAATAAATTTAAATTTTTTTTTTATTTTTATCTTTTAAGAAAAATTAGTCTAAGGTCTCTGTCTCATTTTTAGTAATAGAAGATACCCACAATATTATTTTTTGATATTTAACATCCCTGAACCTACACCCATATATCAGATCAGAGAAATTTGACTCTCTATCTCTCTTTCTGATCACCATCATCATGCCTCTATCATTTCCCAGATTTATCTCTATCTAAGTCTAGCAAGCAATGTCGAAGATTGATAGCAACGGTGATGGATTCATTGATCTCCACGAGTTTGATGATTTTCATCGGAGTTCTTACCTCTCATTTCATAGCCAAGGATTCCCACGTCCTTCTTTCCGACCACGCCTGGACGTTTAGACTCTCTGATGCCCGCAAACAGTTGGAGCAAGTTCCAAGTTTGATTGAAAGTATGGCTTCATTAATGTGTGTTGATATTGATTTTATAATGTGGATGCACAAGAAGTGGCAGATGATTCTGTTGGTGGAGGCTTAGATATGAATGTTACCAAATTGAATGTGGTGGAAATTGTGAAGACTAAAATTCGTAATGCAAAAGAGAAAGGAGATGACACTGTGAGATGATTGGAGCTTGAAGACCTGCACATGGACAATGCTTTGTTATTGTCTCTTGACTTGCCTAGTAAATTTATTGTAAGTAATTTCTATTATTTATTTTTCTTGTAAACAATTGAATGAGTTTTCTTTGACTTGTTAATATTTTGTTATGATCAATTTATTTATTTATTTTGTTCTTGTGAACCACGGAACACATTTTGCCAAAGGTTTATGATTTTCAACCAGAAAAGATTGTGATGGGGAATTTCTCTAGGTTAGAGAGGGGGATTTTCTCTGGTTTGAGTGAATTTCTTTGGGTTGGAAGGGGATTTTCTCTGAATTTGAGTGAATTTCTCTAGGGTAGACAAGGAATTTCTCTGGTTTTGAAGAATTTCTCTGGGTTGAAGTGTCCAGAGAAATTTTAAAGACCAAAACCAAAATTAAAAAGGAACCTAATAAAATCATTAGGGTTATCTGAAGAGTTGGCTATTTCATTAATTAGAACCCAGAAATAGAAATTAGCAAGATGAAAAAATCAAGATCATTTTCCTTCATTTTCTTACAAAACAAACTATCTCATAATCATAAAGATAGAATGCAGCCCAAATAAATTAGTATTTCTAATTCTGAAGATAGCAGCAGAAGATGCAAATAAGAAATTTCAAATAATGAATGCATACAAAGGCATTTACAATTCAATGAGATATACCTTTGAGGGAAGAGTGAATTGCTAAAAGAAAGTGCTTGTGCTGCTGGTTTGCTATGATTAGAGGTCCAAACTCCAAAATGAGAGAGAGAGAGAGAGAGAGAGAGAGAGATTGTGGGAAGATGGTTGTTGTGTAGAAAGGAAAAAAGAGAGAAAAAATGACATTAAGTTGGCTAATTGTAGATTTGACTGAGTTGGGTTTTTGGGATTGATGGATGAATGGATGATGCAAAGAGTTACAGAGACATTCAATAATTCAAGTCATTGTTTTCGGGTTGTGTTTTTTTTTTTTTTTGTGGTAATGCAGAAAAATTTTCTAGTTTTGAAGAATTTCTCTAAATTCAATCCAGATAAATTCTTTGATGTGATTTTCTCTGTGAATATGCATCCAAATCACTGAAGCCATTAAACTGCAGACAATACAAGTGAATTTCTCTAGCTGGAGAGGATTTTCTCTAGGGTTGAGTAAATTTCTCTGGGGTGGAGGAAAATTTCTTTAGATTGAATCTAGAGAAATTATTTGGTGAGATTAAAGAGAGCATTAAGCGATATGAACACTTCCTTGCTTTACAAGGGGATGACACTGTGAGATGGTTGAGGAGCTTCACATGGACAATGCTTTGTTATTTTCTCTTGAATTGCCTAGTAAATTTCTTGCAAGTAATTTCTATTATTTTATTTTTCTTGTAAACAATTGAATGAGTTTTCTCTAACTTGTTAGTATTTTGTTTCAATCAATTTATTTATTTATTTTTTTCTTGTGAACCATGGAACACATTTTGCCTGAGGTTTATGATTTTCAACCAGAAAAGATTGTGAGGGAGAATTTCTCTAGGTTAGAGAGGGGGATTTTCTCTGGTTTGAGTGAATTTCTTTGGGTTGGAAGGGGATTTTCTCTGAATTTGAGTGAATTTCTCTAGGGTAGACAAGGAATTTCTCTGGTTTTGAAGAATTTCTCTGGGTTGAAGTGTCCAGAGAAATTTTAAAGACCAAAACCAAAATTAAAAAGGAACCTAATAAAATCATTAGGGTTATCTGAAGAGTTGGCTATTTCATTAATTAGAACCCAGAAATAGAAATTAGCAAGATGAAAAAATCAAGATCATTTTCCTTCATTTTCTTACAAAACAAACTATCTCATAATCATAAAGATAGAATGCAGCCCAAATAAATTAGCATTTCTAATTCTGAAGATAGCAGCAGAAGATGCAAATAAGAAATTTCAAATAATGAATGCATACAAAGGCATTTACAATTCAATGAGATATACCTTTGAGGGAAGAGTGAATTGTTGAAAGAAAGTGCTTGTGCTGCTGGTTTGCCATGATTAGAGGTCCAAACTCCAAAATGAGAGAGAGAGAGAGAGAGAGAGAGAGAGAGAGAGAGAGATTGTGGGATGATGGTTGTTGTGTAGAAAGAAAAGAAGAGAGGAAAATGACGTTAAGTTGGTTAATTGTAGATTTGACTGAGTTGGGTTTTTGGGATTGATGAATGAATGGATGATGCAGAGAGTTGCAGAGACATTCAATAATTCAAGCCATTGTTTTCGGGTTGTGTTTTTTTTTTTTTTTTTGGGTGATGCAAAATTTTTTTCTAGTTTTGAAAAATTTCTCTGGATTCAATCCAGATAAATTCTTTGGTGAGATTTTCTCTGTGAATATGCATCCAGATCACTGAAGCCATTAAACTACAGACAATACAAGTGAATTTCTCTAGTTGGAGAGGATTTTCTCTAGGGTTGAGTAAATTTCTCTGGGGTGGAGGGAAATTTCTCTAGATTGAATCTAGAGAAATTATTTGGTGAAATTTTCTTTGTGATGTATCCAGCGAAATTCGAAATTTTCTCTGTGATTTGTCCAGAGAAATTCTCTGGATCGAATTTTCTCTGGATCGATATTGAGGGGCCTTAGACATTATCAAAATATTGAGTATCCTTTATGCTATAAAATCTTAATACCAGGGACCTTAAAAAAAAATCCCCTACCTTTTACTATTTTTCTAATTTGATTTTTTTTCTTTTATTTTTTAACATTTTCAAATTTTGGCATATGTTTTTTGTTTTGGGTAAATTACATGACACATCTCGGGGTTTGTATTCAATACAGATTTCTCTTATATTTAAAAAATTACACTTATCTCCCTATTAGATTAAAATGACATATTTACGATTTAGTCTTTATGCATATAAAATAATACAGATATTTTGTTCATGTCATTTCAAAGGAAATAACAATCATTTTCTTTGGTTTAACTCACACAAAAAAATTAATTTTTTTTTATTTTTCATGTTTATTTTATTTTTATTAAAATTTTTAAATATTTTAAGCGATTATTTTATTTTATTTTTTAGATACATCTAATCTAAATATACTTAAGATGTATAATATTTTGTTATTTTTTTTTAAATTCACCAAATACAAAAAAAATAAAAAAATGAAAAAATTTAATACATTATCTTATTTATTGTATTCAATGAATTTTTTTAAAGTTTTTGTGCAAATTTTATACTTTTTAAATATATCTGGATTAAATTGATCTAATCTACATATAATGGTGAAAATAAAATAAAAAATTATATTTATATATAAAAATTTATACAAAATATATCATAAAAATATTGTGATGGTGATATTGTAATAAATATAAATCGTGTTTACGTGTGTTTTATTTTAAAGTGAAAGATCACCATTAAGTTATATCATTGTGTTTGAAATTTTTATATAAAATTTATATTTGTGTATCATCACTCAATAAGGATCTGTTCAAGTAGAATTTAGTGATAGAAAGTTATAAAATGTAATCATGATAATAAGAAGAATAAATTGTAGGAAAAAAGATAAGATAAGCATTTAGAAAATTTTAGGGTATGACACCAGAAAGCTAAGGATAATTTGTGATGAGATTACAAATCTACGGGAGAGGAATATAATTTTTTAAATGTGAAGGGGATTTGTATAAAATGAAAATCTTAAGAAGTGTTAGTATAATTTACCCTTTTTTGTTCATAGGAATAAGTAATGATAGGAAAAATGACAAGATGGTCATTTTAAAAATTTTAAGATATAATATGAGCAATTCAATATTAATGTGTAATGAGATTACAAATTTCAAGAAGAAAAATAAATTTTCAAATGTGAGAGAAATCTGTATTAAATGAAATCTTCAACGGGTGTTGGTGTAATTTATCCTTTTGTTTTTGTTATTTCGTTATGGTCATGATTATCCAACTTAGGGATGTCAATTTGAACTCAGCCCGACGGGGAGTCGGGCCACCCTATCCCTATAAATCGGGTTTTTTCC